TCTCGGTCCCCATGGCAACCGCGGCCGCCGCAACTGCCGGCGCCGCCTCGGGACTTCCGCGCATGCGCAGCGTGGCCGCACGGCGCTCAGGACCGCTGCCCCGGGGGCAAGGGGCTGCACGAGCTCATGGGTGGAGCGACTCTAATAGTTGAAAAAAGTCTTCTTTGCAAGATTTGGAGTGTAAACACCCTTCGCCAGGCTGGGGGTGTGTGGGCTTTTCCTGGGTGGGCTGAGGTGCAGCAGGGAAGGTGTAAATTGGGCGGGGGGGTGAATGTAGCTGGTAAATAGCGGCGAGGTTCTGTGGAGTCAGCTGTCCATTACAACGTGTGGTAAATCCAACGGCTATATTTAGTATATGACTTTTTTTTGGTTTTTTTTTTTGCATGCAGCAGGTGGATGACACGGTGTGAAGTGCGCAGGCTCGTCCACGAAAGGTGTTTTGTAAACTCAGGGCGTGTCCGCTCAGCGCAGCAGTGGTGAGAGTTCAAGGAGAGGCACTTTCAGATCCACGAAAGCTGTCTCCGGCGTCCTGCCAGCACCTCCCCTGCTTCGAGAGAAGTTGCTTCCTCTCCGGGGTCTGTTTGTAGCTGGGGTGAGAAGCAGGAGGCCTGGCTGTGAGGGGAGCAGCAGGACGGCCATGGGAAGGTGGCTGACTCGGTGCAGTGTCAAGGCTTTTACAAAAAGCCGTTGACACCTGTGGAGCGAAGGATTTCAAAGGGATCCAGTAGATTGAAGTGAGCCCTGTGGCTCCCTCAGCCCTGCCTGGCTAGAAATGCTGCAGCTGTGGCCAGGCAGTTGGTTTTAAATTTTGGGTGGAGCAGGAATCAAAGGGTTGCAATGAGGGTGACTGCACCATTGGATCCCCCTGCTTTTACCCCTAGGTATAAGCATGCCTTGTTTTTCCCCCTTAATGAAGACATGGCCTGCCTGGGGTGAATGCTGAGGAGTCATGTGCGTTTGCCAAGACAGAATTTGACTTTAAAGTCCATGAGAGAGGCATGAATACACTTTTTACCTACATGGCTCCAGTCACATGCCTTAATTGCCAGTGCCAAGCCAAGAGGGCATCTACCACAATGTTCTTTATTTCTCTTGTTAAAGGGTGGAGGTGAGATCAGCCCTGCTACCACCATCTTGTTGGCTGTTGAACCTCCTGGACCTAACCTCAGCCCCCGTGGTCAGAATTGCTCTCTTACTTTTTTGTTAAGAGAGTTATGGTTACTTTTGAGAGTTGAGTTCTGCTAGCTGGTTATGTGCATCTAGAGTTCACAGCTCAGCATCATGCCCGGTAGAAGTGAGATGAGGATATCTGTGAGGGAGGGGGGTCATTTTGAGGTGAGAATGTCTGTTCGGCCTCAAGATGGTTTGTAGTCTTGGATCCTGTTCAGATCCTGAATCAAATATCAGTAATTGCCTGAAATGCATTTTCCACCTATTGATATCTGCATGGCTGCACACCTCCTTTATTATAGTCTGTCCACAGGGATTTGTGCATTTGGATCTCCCAAACGGACTTACTGCAGACACTTTTTAACTGGGGATTAATAAGAAAGACCAGCCTGAAACTGCAGCTAATGCACACAATAGATTGTCTGCCTTTTAAGTAGTATAAATGGACAATAGGACACATTCTGTTGCTATTCTATGGCTCTTTGCATTAGATGTCATGCAAATTTTGGATCTATTTCAAAGTGCTACTCCTTATGTTCATAGTCCTAAATGAGATAGAACTCTGATTATCCCTGAAACATCCCCAACTTTACTGAGTCTTCACTGAACAGAGTCATAGCTTGAACTATTAGTGCTTGGGAAAAAGACAAATAAGCTGAGGCTTTAAAATTTTGAAGCTGTCAATAGAGATAAGGCTGAGTCCAAAACTCATTCGTCCTCTTAGCCAGTTTATCAGACCTTCCCTAATAACCAAATTGTATATCTCTTTTGGAGGTCTACCACCAGCCACTGATTCAGCTTAAATTGCAGGAGGAATTCCTTCCTTTTAAGGAGCAAATAATGAATGAGATATGGAAGCTGGGCCTCCCACAGAATCATTCTTATGGGCACATTAGAAATGCATAAAACATATCCTGTTGTTTCCTTGTGCTTTGTATGGTCATCTGTATTTGTACTGCACCTAGTACAATGAGAAGCTGGTTCACAAGTAAGGCTTTTAGGGACTAGGGTAATACAAAGGCAGAACAGAAATGCAGCATCTAGTAAACTCTCTTTATTTTCCAGCAGTCATGTCAACTCTCCAAGGTCTCTGCAAACAGTATTTGCAGGTCTGCCAAGAATCAAACCAGCCAGAAAACCCTTTCATTGCACATATGCTTCGAGAAGCTGATAAAGACAATATAATGTAAGGAAGTAACAAAGTGCATATTTCAAATGCTTCTGAAAGCCTTGGGCTGTGTAACAGGACCAGGAATGGAATGATGAGAAATTTCACTGGAGTCTATGATTTAAACATAA